AAAAGAACCACTCACTTCTCTTCAGACCCGTTCCGAATTAGATTTCCAGCGCATTTGGTTGATTCTGGGTCCGAACCAGAAAAGCACAGCTCTGAGTTGACTTTGATTCCAACTCAGGAAGTGTGACTCAAGTCTGCAATCGGTCCTAAGGAAGCCGAATGCGGCAACAACAGATGACTTGATAAACCGCTCTATGGGTAACGTAAACACTTATGTTGAAAATCACACGAGAACACCATGTTGCGTGGTCCATTCGCTGCAAAGTTGAAGGCTGTGAGAACGATAATATCGTTTGTTACATTTATGTTTGAGTCCATTCATCACCGATTCCATTCACATTTGATTTGAACAAGAGAAAAAACTGTACTAGTTTTCGAGAAAACGATGGACTCCAATTGCTTTTTCTCTTGCCAAAAAGACATCTCTCAACGTATTTCATTTGATTCGACTAAACCATTGACATCGGCAGAAATAGAAAGTCCAGATAAAGATTCTTACGATGAAAATCAAATCCAACTATTTTTCCCGTCCATGACATCGACGACTGTATGCGTTGTACGGGTGCAAACCAAAGCTCTTTAAGGGAAAAAATTGCACCAATCAACGAGACGGAAATGATCAGCACGTGTGGCAATTAACGGCGCGTCCGAGACAAACTAACGCCGCACGGAAAATCATGTTCCCATAGCCTGTTGACCATCGGCCATTGCTCTCATGGCAAGTTTCCTCAATTCATTGGCGATAAATAACATAACGTAAGGTCAAGTTGGTGGAAAAAGTAACGTGACGGCGTAAAACAAGCCCTTATCATGAGCAAGGGAGGTGTTGAGCACCGAGGCCGAAGGCACGATTGCGCCGGAAGCCAATCAGTACTTAAATCGTAAAAAGAATATGGTTCGGTATTACCGTGGTCTGTGCAAGTGCTGAGGTGTATTAGCTTCTTGGTTTTGACCTGGACGATTATGTGCTAATTATGAGACCCATTCAGTGTTCGTGGTGCAAACTGCACCAGCGATTGCACCATTGTGGGATGGCTCTCGGTGAGTAGCAGGTGAGTACCAGTGAGAGGCTGATGAGGCCACTCAAGTGCTAAAGACACTCACTTTACCAATGCGACCAACTACACAGTGGCGGGACGGGATCATATGCACTAAAAAGTGCATGCAATCTGAGCAAGTGATGTGATAAGCGCAGTCACTGACACCAGCGATTAAAACACGCAAGTTTCACAAAACATTCGCCTCGCAGGATGTATTGGCCGTCCTCAGCCCGATTAACGTAGCAGACGGGTAGCCGTCCACATCAGATACTCACAGCAGATATGCGCAGATGCGACCAGCGTGTAGTGTCGTTCGGATGCAGGTATCAGGGAAACTACTCACCAGCAGCGCTACGAAGGGATAGGCTATCCCAGCCATCCGCCCGCAGAAGTTGACGATGCCGAAGCCAGTGTTACGAACCGATGTGGGGAAAATCTCGCCCGTGAATATGTAGGTTACGGTGAACGTGGTAGCTATGCACAGCTTCCCTGCAAACCAGGACGACTGGGATGAGCAGAATACCGATTTGTTCCGCCTGCAGCTGCTGTGATGATTTCAGTATGCCCCAGCGAACGCATGACGGTAGAAAGAAATACACCATTCTATTTAATCGCGTATGGTAGTGTATACTCCATTAGCCTCCTACAGTCATGGCAAGGCAGTGGAACTGATCGATCAGACTGAATGTGAGACCTGCCTATCAGGACAGACCAGGGGGTGGACGGCCTATTAGACTGAGTGTCAGACCTGCTTCTCTCAGCACATGGCAGGGGTACCGATCACTGATCAGAATGAGCGTCAGCCTGCCTCCCTGATCGTCAATGTAGAGCCAGGCAGCAGCATGATCAGGACGCAGCTGATACCTCCGGCAGCATCACGCCCGCTGAGCGTGTACCGTCGGCCCCAGTCTGCGGCAAGAAGCGTAGTCAGCGGCCCTCTGCCATGACCGCCCTAACAGATTATTCCGTGGCAGGACACGAGTTTTCGCAGGTGTTCGCAGTCAGCTGTTGCAGGCTCGATCCGGTGGGTGCTAATCGCGCAAACAGTTGGTCAGGGGCGTTCAAATGCTGAGAGGCGGAACTATTCCTACTGCATGCTGTATACGCTGCCCTTCAATTGCGGTCGCGACGTAGGCCAGAGTATGAAACTTATTCTAACTTGAACCTCGCAAGTGTCTTCAGCGGTGTTTAAATGGCCATACATTGCAGCGGTACGCCCACAACGTGTAGAATGCACTTAACGGAAGAGAAAAAACTATTAAAACAGTGATGGTGTTAAATGCATGAACGGTGAACAGCCCGTCCCGAGAGTGGTCAGTCAGCCTTGCTGTCAAAAGGTAGCACAGGATACCACGACGATAGGGAATGGAAACTTCATTGGGCAGCTAGTTTGGCTACCGGGTACGGATGTGTGTATGCCAGTCGAGGCAATCGGCGGCACGTTCTCAATCTGCTCTTGCAATGGTACGTCAACGTGACGTTCCAGTAAATAGCAGCTATGACTATCGGCAAAAAAAGACAACGCGATTCATGCTACCATTTTCAATTCTGTAGCACGGCAGCAATGTACCACGCATCACATGCAAAAACGGTGAAATGCCACGAAATCTTGTTTAAAAAAATGGTTGAAAACCACAACAGAACCCGGGAAATTGTGCACACTGCTTAGTCCTGCGCGCAGAAACGGCTGGAAAGAACCAAGGTCCAAAGCCCCTGCGCAAGGGCGAAACATCGATGCTGCCCAGTACTCACTTATCCCAGTAGCCAGGAGATGACGATCATGGGCGGAATCTCCACCAGGCCCGAGAGGGCGAACGAGATGAATCGGTTTTGACCCATGCTGGCCGCCGCCGCCGTCAGGCCGTAGTAGGTCAGCGTGTGTACCACCCTGGGTCACAGCAGGAGCACGGGATATTAAAGCACTGGCGGCATTCGCAACGTGCGAGGCTCCATCAAGGTACATGACTACCGTATAGTTTTTGATAGTGTGGTGTAGCAGTACGTGAGTAGCATAACTGAGTACTGTGCGATAACAGCAGGTCACTGACCGGGAGCAAGTACAGCGCCGATATTAAGCGACACAGCCCTGGCACTTGACCACCGCCCTCACATGATATTGTTCGGCGTTGGCAAAGGTATTTGTTGTTTGGTGTCCTGTTACATGCTGCGAATGCATTGCTACGAGAACGAGAGTGCGAGATAAGATGGCAAGTTTCATAATTCCTGCACCATTTGGGGACTTGTGACGTCATCAATCATATTGCACAGATCAACGTAACCCTGCATCTAGCGGGCGCGTAAATCATCCCAACCCGTGAAAAATTGGTGTAAAGCCCACATATTCATACTTCACGGGCTTTTCCACTCGATTATATATGCGATTATATATGCGAGCTTCTCCACTCGTTATTTACATGTCTATATGTATATATATATATATATATATATATATATATATATATATAGCTATTGTTGCGTCAAATTAAATAGCAAATTACGCTGCGACGAACGTCACACCTCCTACTCCCTACCAATCTAAATCCTTGCTGCTTCATGCCTCTGGCATGGACGCCGCCGCCGGCAGCGTCATGGCCACCGTCGTAGCGTACCAGGTGAGGCAGAGCATCACTGTCCAGAGAGCGGAGCGCCAGTGTCGGAACAGCGAGCAGCAGTTGTCGGGAAAGCCAACGGTCTTCTCCCTCGCGGCCACCAGGGTAAAGTTGGCCGGAAGGGTCACTCCGTTCGCACGCGCTATGCCCAGCATGACCTTGTGTGCTTCCTCGGTTCGACCATTGAGCATAAGCCACCGCGGGCTGGCAGGCACAAAGCTGACGGCAGAGGCGGGACCAGTCACTGCATGGGAGATGGCAGCGGGGGTGGGAGCCGATAACGCCAGAGGGTGATGGCGGACACCATGCTGGCGGCAGAGGCGGAACCAATCATCAAATGGGAGATGGCGGCGGGGACGGGAGCCGGTGATGCCAGAGGGTGCTGGCGGACACGAAGCGGAGGCTGTAACATGGACCACTGAGGACAGCGGTAGCTGGCCTCTGACTGCAAAGCCTGGATGGTGGTGATGACAGAGGCCAGGGTTACGCGTGCTGTCAGTGACGCATTCATCACGGAATCACGGAAATGCCCCTGACAAATATGGACGAGCACATGGATTGATCAAATTGTTAAACAACAAAACATACAAAAAAACCTCGCACATAGGAGTAGCTGCTTTATCTTAAAATGTACTCCGCCTTAAGAGCAGTGCTCTTCTCCCATTTTCTCTCAATGTTGTCGGTACCGCGGGAGAAATCTTCCTTGGCTGTTTCTCCAGTCACCCCTCAGCATCGGCGCACACGTAGCAGCGTGCCTCCTTCATCGGGAATGCGAACTCGAAACCCAGAAAATGTGGAAATCACTTGGGGCCGAACCCGAACTATATGCCGGGTGTTGGAGCTCAATAGAGCCGCGGTTGCTTATAGCAATCCGCACAAACCCGGCTTTTTGAACACACACACCGTCGTAAAGAAGCCGGACACTCTTTGCCAGCTCTCATCCCCTATTCTTTTACATGCCTTCCCCAGCTGCATCATTAGGCCGGCGCAATCCCCGGTGACTGTTAGTTTCTTTGGCGTGTAGTCGATCACGATGATACCAAAACAGATCCGGAAAGGTTGCCACCACTTTGCCCGAGGAGGCCTGGCTGCGAAAGTCTTCGAAGTGGAATATCCCTTGTGCTCCTGACGCATGCTCTCGCGATATAACTCGGGGTCCAAGTGGTGAGGCTTTGTCTTATATCCTGTCACCTGACGTTTAAAACAAGTTCGCAGGGTAAGTTTTGGAGGCAGCGGAAAGCTTCTCACTTAATACAGTTCGCCAATGCCGATCTTGTATGCTGAGGTTTCGCGGCACCGATCCACTGGACAACTTGCCCATTAACATGGAGGATGGTTTCAAAGGTACTAAAATGATATGCGAAACTCAGTTGCAATAGTCTTTATCTTAATCCGTCTACCTTTCAAGATCAACACTTCTACAGCTTCGAATAGTTGGGGCGATGTTGCCTCAGGCTGTTCTCCTGCCCGGGGGTCATCTCGAGGTGGGCAACGTACACGTGCAAAATCGGCGGACCACTTAGCCACCGTGGAAAAATGGGAAGCGGCAGTTACTGCACACACATTGAGCAAATGTTGCGAAATTTTCTCCACATTTTGGCCTTTACTCATAAATTTCACAGACGCCCTCCAAACAACCTTAGACGTGCCATCCATAGCCGACATAACAATTGCAATTGAGACGCTACATTTGAGCCTGCTTTAGCACCAGGGAAAAGAAAACGTTAGTTTGCGACTAGAAGCACAGGCTTCCGCCTGGTGATAAGAAGCATTCACCACACTGTCAAGCTATACTCTATTCCAGGAGCTTGTTGACCCACCCTCGATGTAAAAAAACTACATTTCATCGTAACGGTTTATATCGCTCTTTGTGTACACTTACATCGTTCATATCGACATGCGCGCAATCTACGTTTGTCTGAAGAGGAGTAATCACTCACAAGAGATCACTCATTGATCCCTTATATTATTTGCTTGCTTTTACACGCTCAGCTATTGCGCTTTTCTCAAGTTATTCAAATCCCAATCTTACTTCCGCCATAACTAGCACCAATGCCCAAATCGCCGTATGATATAATTCCTGTAGAAATTTTTGTAGTATATAGCACAGAAGCTGGTTCCCGCTCGAAAGTTGGATTGAACGCACTGCACGTTGATAATCACCTGAAGTCCGTTAATGCCGGAAATAATGCTGACATAGCCAAACACGAATAATTTAATGAAATACTTGAATCGGCTTTAGGAACTGCATGACCAATGAGGCCGCAGTGCTCACGTGACGTTTCTATGGCGTCATGGATGCCTGGTTGACCTTACCATAGTCTGGACGAGAAAGCCGGCGCAAATTGTGGATGTCAAGGTCAGAAAACAGAGTGCTCAGTTTAAGAAAGGGATGGGCTGTGAACTGCAGTGAATGATCTTCCAAATGGCTATCTCGGTTCAAAACGCTATACAAATGTGGAATAGCCCCTTAAAGCATATCACCATAACCGAGTACGCGAATGCAAGTAAACAGTATAAGATCTTAGGAAATACGCAAGAACTGAACGAGAAATAGTCAAAATACGCGCATACAACGATATTTGGGCTCTGGAAACACCCACCGATAGCACGACCCCTCTCGGCAAGTCGAAGTACTACAAAAAATCCCCTCGTCCGCTACAGTGGCAGCTTTGTGCGGTGGTCAAGGCTAAGAAACATGTAATTGTCGAGACGTTCATATCTAACAGTCGTGAGCGCGACTTCCACATATAACGGTCGTCAATTGGCTCTCAATCAATGTTGTGCTATGCACGATGACATAATCAAACAATGACGCATCGAGAAGCATCTTTACTGAACAAAGAATTGTGCTATCTAGAGCAGTCCCCACTTAAAAGG